ACCCGCCGTCGCTCCTTGCGCGCCGCTGCTCACCCCCGTGGGAAGCCCACACGAGTTTTCGTGGCGTGGAAGCGTACGCTGCGGGCATGGGCTGGCTCGGTAAAACATTCACCCCCACCCCCCCGGCTGCTCCTCCCCTCGCTGGCGTGCAGAGCGAGCACGCATTGGCGAGAACGGAATCAAAAGACACCACATTAGTTTAATAATTAAAGGACATCACCCAAAAGAGGAAAAAACATCCCAATCTCCTGGTCAGGGATATTTTTAGCAGAACCACACGCGTGACACAGTTATAGAGGGAGGAGAGTCCCCCTCTCCGAGCAGCTCGGCCTGGCAGGGCACCGGGCAGATAAGAGGGCAGCAGCTATAATATACACATATTTTTTATATATATATATATATGTGAAAATACCCTCCTCATGGTATTTCTTGGGGACCTGTGTAGTTGTAGCTGTAGGTACCCTGATTGCGAGGCCCTCTCCAAAAAGAGACCCGATTGCTTGGACACAAGCTGTGCTGGTATCAGAAATAGCATTACACTCTGTCCACATGGTCTGAATTTAAATGCTGATACAAGTCTCTTTCTCCCAACCTGGAAACCAGGCTATTTGCACGAGATGAAAGCAGAAGGACAGACCTAAATCTGTATTCGGTTCCTCTCCCAGACAAACTGCCTTATGCTTGGTGCAGATACATACAGACCTGGAAACATCATGGTGACACCTGCCTGGTCTAAAGCCCAGCTCATCTGATCAAGGCTAATCACGCCGAGATCAAAAAATACAGGTCTAGGACAATGACACGTGCTGCCTACACCATCTGAGTCCACGGGCTGGCTGTCGGCGTCGTTTCTGTCTCGTATTAGCTAGATAGTGCTTTGCGTATTCTTCCACACACTTCTTTGGGTCCCAAAGTCACCATCATCTCAGCAACACTCGGTCCATGCTGAAAACACATAAGAAGTCATTGTACAAATGGAAACTTACACTTTTCAGATGTGTTTATGCATCATCATGGCGGAAATGATAGACTGATTAGCTATCAGATTGCTGTTAGACCAAGGGTAGGGGTTTTATTAGCAATCTCAAAACAAGGGTTGGGTTTTTTTTTCCTCCTGAAGTAAAATGCTAAGAATGATCAAACTGACCCAGAAGGATTGATGCCAGAGCCTAAGCCAGGGTAAGGCTTTGAAGAACTTTTGTAAAACTTGTTTTTGAACTTTGTAAAAGCAGATTGCATGTAAAATTCCAGTTTTGCCCAAAACCTACAACCTTGCCAATGCTCCCTACAGCTGGTCCAGAGGTTTTTCTAACTTCAGATTTGTGACCAGCATATTCATGCTTTGACAACTTCTGCCTTTCTGAAGCTTTCACAACAGCCTTTTCTTCCAGAATTGCTGTATATCGGTACACTCGGTCATAACAGAAAGTGATGTCAATTCTTGCAAGACGTCCAAATACCAGTATCTTGCTATCAGAGAGATGGTAGCTGTTAAAAAAAAAAAAAAAAAAAAAAGAAGGTCCCAGTCTTGGAATTTTTATTTTTTACCTGCTGCCCACTGAGAGCCAAGCGAAGGAGCTTCATCACGCTGCTGTACTTAGTCTCTTTGGTTTGTTTCTGGAGGCTTCTCAGATCTTTGTTCAACTCCTCCACAGTCAAAACAGCTGCCTGCCTTGTCATGAGCCTTTAGGAAAGAAGATGTCCTTAAAATCTGGGGACGTACAAAACACAGGATTCTTACCCAGAAATGACTAACGACTTTGATGACTGACAGCTACCTCAGACTGCTAGCCACCTCGGACTGGTTTTGCAAAATCTTATGGCAACAGCAGCAGCTCCAGGTAAACTTTCTTGCCTTTCACTCCTGCTCTGTGCCAGGGCACTCCCGCTGCTCACTGCTGCCTTGGTCGTGTACACGGGTACCCTCCTAGGCAGGCAGGTGGGACTGCTTTACCTCGATACTGCTGCTAAGACTCTGCTTTGTGAAACCATACCTTTATTTCAACAGCACCAGAAGCAGAGTTTGTTCAGAAAAGCAAGCATCAAGCTTAAATCACAAAATTATGCCAAGGACCTGGAAAACCACAGCAAAAGCAGTAATTCCGATTTCCTTTTTAACAATATGATTTTTAGAGATGCAGGAACCATCGCTGCTACTACTCGGCTGTAGGTAGCAGTACTGTTATCCCTCCCGGATAGCAAGTGTTCTGACGTTTGAATTACTGTGACAAATGACTGAGGGCAACCAGCTTTACAGATAGCTGGAAATAATAGCTCAATTTGCAGATACTGCCACCTTAATTACTCCCAAAACTGTTTTTCAGGGCTCATTTTAGTCCAGAGGCGAGATCTGAACTGGGAAGGTGACGGACATACCACACCGCCTAGCTGCAAGGCGTGGCGTAGCAGAGGGGCATGGGGCAGCAGTGAAACTCGTTGGCAAAACCCCACAAAACCCACTGGCGTAGAAGGAAGGCCCTAGACTGGGCAGACTGGCTGCAATCCCGGCGATGTTCCTGAGCAGACAGAACTGCAGACTGCTAGCTGGAGACAAAGGAATGGAAGCAGGAAAAGCTCCCCAGGGACGAGCGCTTCAGAAGTGACGGCGATTCCGGCTGGACACGAACCGGGCTCATTCCAGAGACCCAGAAGTCCCATTACATAATCTGAACACACGTGGACCAGAACCACCTCGCACTTATCCAGTTTGATGCTACAGCAGACAAAAGCACAGGAGATCAGGTGGCATGGGAAACCCCTGCTAACACTGCTGCTTCATTAGCGCCTGCTGGCACACAAACTCCGCCGTGCTTGGTGCTTTACTAAATCCAGACATGACAATTCTTGCTTGAGAGCACTGATGTGAGCTTTCCCACTGGCAAGCTGCTTTTCAATTAAAAACACAGAATTTCTCACTAGTTATCGACTACAGCACATTCCAAAGTAAAGCAAATTAAATAAGAGCATGTCCAACATCAATACAGCAGCCAAGAGCGATGCTCTGGGGCGGGCAGGTGGGTGTGTACAGAGCTGGGAAGAGACACTTACCCTAAGACTAGTTTTCCTATTTCATCTACTTCTCCAGAAATAGTTTGTAGCTGCTCTCGGGATACCGAGGGCCTAACCCATAAGTAAGAATAATCAGAGGACACCAGGTTCTTCAGGAGGCTTATGTGACCCTGCAGAAAAAAAGGAAAGCTGTCAAGGCTGAGGGTTAAGCCGGGGGGGAGCAAACACATCCTGTCTGGACTTGGCAAACGGGGTCCAAACACACCACTGCCTCGTACTCCGTACTGCTCAGAGGAAACGCGAATCGCTGACATTTAGGCAGCTGAGGTTTTCACACCCATAACCACCTGGTGTGAGCAGGGACACAGGTGGAGCCCAAAGGGCCGCGGCTGTACCCGTGCTGCAGAGCCGCGCGCGGGCTGACTCAGAGTTAGCCCAGGGAAGTGGCTCGCCACGTTCATCTGCCGCCTTTCAAGAGACAGTGGGGGGAAGTCACGAGTCACCGTCCCGCTGCCACAGTGCAGCCTTCATGCTGGAACAGTCGGATCTCTTCCTGCCCTTATAAAGAAGGCTTTATTCTTCACGGGGAAGTCCCCAGATACCACAGTAGCATCCCAGGGGCAGACTGGGAAACAGCTGGGCTCATCCTCCTTCCTGGCATCGGGAAGAGCCACAATATCTTCTGTCCCCTTCACAGCCAGCACTCTGCCACTCAACCAAGACCAGGGCTCCCAATGCACAAACCCCACTAGTTTAACCACCGAGAGCTTCATCCACCTCTGCAAAGAGGTTGCTTTGACTTTGCTAGCAAAGCATGAAGCAGCGGCAAAGCAGAAGCACCTTACGCTGCCCAGTCAGCAAAAGCTAGAGGTGAGCAGTCTCCTGGCACAAGGGGCCCTGGGTGCTGGACCTTCTCACCACAAGCCAGCTGCACCCTGGGCTACAGGAGGAGAAGCGCAGCTCGGAGGTTTTCAACACTTATCTAGACAAAGCCACAGCTGACCTGATCCAGCACTACTGACAGCCCTGCTCTGAGCGTGAATCAGAGAGGCCTTCCAAGAAAATCCTACAATTCCATGATTTGCTTCCACGGCAGGGACACGTCCTCCCTCTGCCGAGGGAGCTCTCTGCCCGAGAGCTTACGACTCTGCAAAGACCACCAAGATACTCAGCATGCCCATTCCTACAGGTCAGCTAACTATATCATCAGATTTTGGCAGTCAGCATGCACGCGATCACTTGAGCTGGCAGTGGCAGCCACTTGCAGGCTGTGGCGCTTCAGAGCTCAGATGAAAGCAGTGCCCAGGACTCAGCTGAGTCTTCATCCAGGAATCCCACAAAACCTCAGCTCCCCAAAATGGTGACACAATGCTATCACTGCTCATACTTTTCTCAGCAGGAGGACTCGCTCCACATACTCCTTTTCTAGAACCTCTTGATCCACTTGTTGATCCCCATAGACGTGCTCCACCAACAACTGCAACTCTCTAATTAGCTTCTGTCGCAGCCCTTCATTCTCAATATGACGGGCGAGGTGAATCCTGTAACAAAGAAGAAAACTGCTTTTGGACTGCTTTGGGTTAGATTGGATCTAATCATCCCAGCCTCAAAACATTTACCAATTAAAACTGTTAGAAAAGCAACATTAAACCCCAGACAGACATTCTACAACAAAGCCTTTAAGTGCTAATGCACCACAGTGAACAAAAGATGTGGTAACTCTCAGCAGCACAACGTCCCCATAGCACACGAGTGAGTGTACTTGCAGAAGTACCCTCTGGAAGCGTTGCCTCTTTTTAGACGTTATTTTGAATCTAAACTTAAGACCTTGCATCCTCCTAGCTACACACCATCTGCCCAGGTTTTTACAGCGTGCCCGACACCAGCGTCCAAGCACAGGACGGGAGAGGAGACAGGAATGGTGTAAGCAGAAACTTATACTTGGCTGTAGCGCAGCAAAAAAGCCGCTGTGCTTGGGACCATGCTTGATCCAATAAACAAAATCGCCAGACAAAGCCAAGCGCTAGGAATAAATTCTCACTGATGTACAGACTACTACGTTTTGAAGTTACCACTGATATTTATACCTGTTGAATTCTGGGAGTTTTTCAAGATCCAGGAGGGCAGAATGGGTTGTAATTCTGCCTATTTCAAACTGTGAGATCAGCTCCTCCAAAGTCCTCCCCATCTGTTTCTCTGCAAAAATAACCCAACAAGGGCATAATACACATCCACTCTCCTGCAGAGAACTAGTGTCGCTGCATTTCACTGCAAGCCTCGGGCGCAGGGCCGGGACAGCAGCAACCCAAGGAAGAAGGGACACAGAAGAGCCACTTTTTGCAGTGCTAACAGGGACGCACCCCAGCAAGCAGGAGGGAACTTGTAGCAGGCAGGCACAGGGAGCTGCCCTCTCCCTAAGAGCAGGCTCTGCTAACTACTGGTGAGGAACTGGAAAGGGGGACATTCTGCTTGGCTCTTCAGTGGAACACCCCTTGCATCAGTCAGCCAAAAACAAGTAACACTCGGCCAGGAGGCTCCACTGCCCAGGAAGGGTTTCATTCCCAAGCAGAGTTCCCAAAACACAAGTTAATTTGTGATCCCCACACAGCAAGAGCAACAAAAGGAGTCACTGACTCAACTTCTCATGGTCTTTCAGGTTAAACGAGAAGTGTGACAGATGTAATACACAACACTGCAATTATTAACCATAGAATACAAGTTTTCCCAAGAGTTCACAGACAGTTTCTTCACCTTGAGATGAATGTGTTCCTAAGTGGGAACCCATTAAGCATCAGACTCAATTTAAATGGCTGCACAGAGGCAGAAAGATTCCCACCACCCCAGCACACCACCCAGGCTTTCACAGGAGCTCTGCAGAAGCCCTGGTGGCATTTCAGTAACAGACTGGTCGCCGGATGCCTATTTCCTGATCCCTTCAAACACTGCCAAAGTTCTCAGCTATTAACATAAACCTAACCCGTTCCCCACAGTCAGCATCAAGAAGTGTCCTAGCAAGTACCGAGCCTGTTGTTGTTACCTGCGAATCCAGAGCCACAGTTGGTTATGATGTCCAGCAGAGCCTCTGGCAAGTAGCCATCCCGAGCAAAACGCTCCAGAAAGATGTCCCCCTGCCTTTTCGACAGCTTGCCACCGTCTTTGTTCAGAAGCAGCGGGAGGTGACCAAACTGAGGGGGATCCCAGCCAAAGGCTTTGTAGAGAAGGAGGTGCTTGGACGTTGAAGTAAGCCACTCAGTTCCCCGCAGAACGTGGCTGATGCCCATGTAATGGTCATCCACCACGTTTGCCAGGTGGTAAGTGGGGAAGCCGTCCCCCTTGAGAATCACTGGGTCGCCTTCCACGTCAGCCACTTCATGCTTGCTCCAGCCATAGACCAGGTCCCGAAAGGGTTCAACCCCCTTCTCCAGCCGGAAGCGGACTACCCAGTCAAGGCCCTGTGACAGCTTCTCAGACACTTCTGTGGGCGTCAGGTGCCGACACCGGTTGTCATACCTTTGAGAAAGGAGAACGAAGGTCTCAGGTCAGTACAGGCCAACCCCATCAGCCATTTTTACATTCCCAAAACTCTAAATTGATCCCTGAATTTTAGCTGTAACCTATGTAACACCTAGGATTTTAGCTGTAACCTATGGACATGTAACACCACATGTCCAGTCAAACTACCTCACCTCTGGAGGTCACTCCCCTAAGCCTGGAGGTCACCCCCTAAGGGTTACACTGGCTTCTCTCTCCCCGGGAAATCCTATTGCCGCGCACGTTGTCGAAAGTTTTTGCAAGCGCGCAGCACAGAGAACCACCCGGGGGACAAGGAACCCCTACCGCGGGGTCTGCTGGCTCCGCAAAGCCTCCTTCTTCAGCAATTGCAGGCGCTGAGGGGTACAAAAGCAGCGGTACGCCGCGCCTCTCTCCAAAAGCACGTGGGTGGCTCTCCTGTAAAGGTCAAGTCTGTGTGACTGCTGGTAGGGTCCAAAGGAACCACCGCGGCGAGGACTCTCATCAGGGGGAATACCTGAAACATCAGTATGACAGGACTTAGAAAGCCCGTAAAAAGGCAGAGTGGAACCCACCATCGGAGCACACTGAACGAAGACGAAACAGCAAGGTTCTGGAGAGCGTCCAAAGATGGTGTCTGCTCCAGGGCAGCCCGCTAACGGCATCTGTCTAGCACAGGTGTCAGATTCCCCTGGACTCAGAAGATAAACAGCAGCCAGCACCTTCGGAATTTAGAGTATCGCGTGTGAAGCAACGAGCAGAAAAAACCACCAGAACCGAGTGAACAGTTGAGCGGCTCCGATACGCTACTTAGAGCAAAACGCAGTCAGGTGTACGCGTACAAAGTAGCATCCACCCTCTTCATAGGAAAGAACACTCATACCACAAAAATACAGTTGAGACCTTGGCCAATTATTTTACCTACCCCGAAGTTATTAATCAACAGCAAAGTCCTAGTCCCTTGTCGTTTACCTACCCATTAATGGCAACATCTGTGGGATCCGGCTCTAACTTTATCACAATTCTGTATTCTAAAATCACCCTCACTTCCAGTTCTTAAGCTCAAAAAGCAGCAGAGGATTCAAAATGAAAACTGACACCTCCAGATCCCCTTTAGCAAATACTCTGTAAATAAATACATAAACAATTCATCAGTTTACAGCGAGGTCTGTGAGCTCCAACTTCTGACCTTTCCGTCGTGTCTCTCGTGCACAACGGCACATGGGGCCACTTCCACAGATTTGGACCTTTCTGCGTGTCAGACAACACAGCCGAAAGAAACCAAGCCTAACCAGCTATTTCTGCTGTAAAACGTACTTCCAGCAGGACCTTCCTGATGCCTAGCTGTAGGAATGACTACGCGTCAACTAATTCACCGCCTGAAACGCTGCATCGCTTGCTATCATGGAAAACACTCTCAATCTGGGTGCTGTTAATCTCCAAAAAGAGGAGAATCTTTCAGTAAGTAAAAAATGAAAGGTGTCTGTAAATACCTGCCCAATCCAGCATATCTTCTATTCCTTCTGCAGCTCCAGGCACCACTCGATTTTGATCCGTATCCTCCACCCTCAAAATAAAGGTCCCTTGGTGGTTTTTGGCAAAAATATAATTGTACAGAGCAGTCCGAAGGCCACCCAAATGCAGAAAACCTGTTACCACGGGGAGACCAGGGGAGACCCGTCATAACCGAGGGATTCTTAAAACGGGAGCCGGCG